ACTTACTTACTTACTTACTTACTTACTTACTTACTTACTTACTTACTTACTTACTTACTTACTTACTTATTTGGAATGGGTGGTTTTACTGAAGATTAACATCAGCAGAGACGTGGTTTTATTTTGAAAGGGAATCCCAGTGTGACCGTGGCTCCAAACTGTGACTCTGACTCAGAATTACCAGTTCACCAGAAACCAGATCCTCCAACCCCGTTGTCCCTCCTCAGCCAGTCTATGATGGATCAGGAGGTCAGTGACGAGACCAGCATGTATCTTATAATCTTTGCAACAWTTTCTGTAGATTTCAATCAAGTTGTGCAAAATTAATTTCTTTAGGCTCTTAATGAAATCGATGATTCAAAGGAAAATAGAAATGAGAATGTGTATCKTTCACATAACTCGGGGATGCGTGCAATCAAAAGGTATTTACTTAATTTAATCGTCTTCCATAATYAAAACTATTGTTTTTGATATAATAATCTTTATTTTTGCCTTTGCAGGGCCAGTGCACGGAAAATGAAACTGCAGTCTCAGGGTAGAAGCTTGCAGCAACAAAAAGTTCCTCATCGCCGATATTATCAGGAAGATGTTCCTGTGACGCCCTGCAGATCAGAAAGAGCACCTGACCAACAAGGTGGGCTTCATTGGTTTATACTCTGATTTAACATTTTACAATACAGGCACTGTCAGCGTTTGTTCATTTTTATTTTTATTTTTATTTTTTTTAGCTCTTAATGCCACTGTGGCTGTTCGACGTRTTCGGTCCAAGCGGAACGAGTCACCGAAAACCAACGAAGAAACGTCSGTTTCTCAAGTCCTGAATCCTGAACTTTCCTCTAATCAATCAGGTGAAATCCTTAAGAAGCCCTGAAATGAATAATCTAATGAGATTACCAGCGCAYGAAACAGTCTCTTTGTGTCTTAGGAAGAAGCAGCGGTCGTGCCAGGAAGTGTCTTTCTCTCAGCTCAGAACTGGACGGCTCCTCTGTCACCTCCACTGGAGACCAGTCCAGTCTGGGCCTGCTGCAGGCCATGTTGGGTCAGGTTGAAGCAGACCTGGAAACTCTTATTCCTCATTCAGAACCAGGATCATCGGAGGGTCCAAAACACCACAGAACACAAGGCCTCACGGGGTTCTCTGTGGCCTTGGTCTCCACACTTGGACGGTTAGTCCACGTCCTCAAACAGGTACTCAGAATATCTGAAAATACTTTCTTTTTTAATATATACAAACWACTTTTTGGAGATAAAACAGTTTGGATATCTAGCAGAATTTGAAAAAAGTGAATAANGTGTGTGTGTGTGTGTGTGTGTGTGTGTGTGTGTGTGTGTATACACCATTTTTTTCTACATTAACATTATATCCTTAATGGCTTTTTTAGTGTTCGTTACTCTTGCTTTTATATTTTAAGCAGTTTAAAAACCGGTAATTTTATTCTTGAATAAAAAGCTTGAGCTGATACTCCTACTTCCAAAAAAGTATTTTTAAACCCTAGTATCTATACTTCTACTTAAGTAATAATTGTGAATACTTTTGACACCTCTGCTAATTACTAATATAAAAATGTATTTGACTTATTGAATACCTGTTATTTAAATCAAATGAGTGTTACAAACTGAAGGGGGCAGCAACACTTTTACATCTACAAAGAAGAAGAAGAAGAAGAAGGTATCCGCGGTAACGGTGCCGGAAGTGACGCGCTACTGGTAAAAACTCGACTGTAGAGTTTATAGCAGCGTTAGCTTGATGTAACACATGTAAACCGTGTAAAAACGCCACTTTCTGTGTTTATTTTCTGCTCTCCGTAGCTTCTTATTCAACAAGAAGCTATAATAACATTAAGTTATTGTCAAGCGTAAGTGTTGGGTTCCGCTCAAAGGTCCGTCCTAAATGCGGGAAATTTAAACGAAAGGAGCTCTTGCCAGTTAGCCGTTCAGTGTTTATAAAGCAGTGGTTTTTTTTAAACACTTTTTAAGCAGATGTCGTTTGCGAGAGTGGGACATTCACAACAACAAACCAAAGGAAAGAGGCCTCTTCGTCCCAARAAGGCTACAGCTCCCAGACAAGACTGGGTGGTGAGTTCTGTCAGCTGCTACTGTTTGATGATCAAATCATGCTAGTCCATTATTACAACACTGAAAATACTTTGTCCAGAACCGATCCTTAAAGTTGATTTGATCGAGGAAATATATAATCATATAAATCACTTCGAGACATAAACACAGCAAGAGCAGAATGTGTCAGATTATCTTGTTAGCTTGGATTTTTTTTCCTTATTTCAAGGAGTCTTAAGGAAAATTTCCAGGCCAACAGGATTGATAATCTAATACAACCTGCTCTTGTTTAGTGAATGCCAAAACAAGATCAAAAATATTTTTGTGGATGGATATACAGTATGATAGTTGGACTTGGTTGCAGTTTTGCAGTGAAGTCAGTCTGAGGTTTTTTTTTTGTTGTTGTTTTTTTTTTGTTAGTAAATGTGCTTGACAGGCTCTCGTATGTGTTTTAACAGAGTKAGGGACTATTGTTGTTTCAATTCTGATTTTATATTTGTTTTTAACTTGTGCTTTTGATGTGCAAAACGTCAACAACCTGAACACTTTTTGTCAAARCATCTTATGTTGAACTCTGAACTTTTTATTCCAGAGCACCGTCAATGATCTGTCTGTGCATAAGCTGACATCTGCTGAGCTGGTAAGATATGCTGATCTTGTTTTTGAATTCARTTTAGTTGATTTATATAGGGCCAAGTCACAACAAACATCTCACGGCACTGWACAATTTAAGTCTAGCAGCTAAATCCTGTATGCAGCGCTACAGGTTGCAGACTGTCCTGGTAGACTTAGTTTTTACGTGCACGCAATAAAGCTCACCATGCTGATCTTTGTTTCCACATCATGCTACRTGTTATTTATTCATCTTCACATCCAGTTTGAAAGCATCCACAMKATCTCTTTGAGCTCCAGACTAAGCACAGTAGAAAACTTGTCCTTGTCGCAACAGATGAACAGAATCACACTTAACCTTAAATAGCCCCATCCTTCACCTGCCAATTAGTATACAAACAGAAATACAACCCCTAGTGGTGATAAACAATAAAAACATGATTTTTGGTTCTTACATTAAGGAAGCCAACAGATTGCACTGAACCTTCACTTCATCACAGTCTCCCATCCTGAGCAGCTCATGGGTCAGTTTGTCCTCCAGCAGTTTAAGTCTATAGCAGCAGAACTGAGGAATAACTCAGGAAACCTACCTAACTATATTTATCAAAATGGAAAGTCTTAAGTCTTAAAAGTAGACAGAGTGTCAGCCTTTGCAGACAGAAAGTTGGTTCCACAAGAGAGGAGCTTGATAACTGAAAGCTCTGCCTCCCATTCTACTTTTAGAAACTCGAGGAACCACAAGTAAACCTGCAGTCTGAGAGCCAAGTAAAGCTGGGCGGTAKGACCCAAATTTTATATCACGGTATTTTCAACAATTACACCGGTTTCACGATATTTGACTGTATTTTTTTTCCCTCACAGCTCAGCTGATAATAAAATGTACAAACTTTGCTTATTGACTTTTTTTCTTTTACTGTTCCTCTGTATCACTGTTTCCCTCCTCCTGTACATCTTTTCTTCTTTGCCTGGTTGTAGACAGTAATCATGCATTTAGGTTCGATCGTGAAGGGTTGAGAAAAAAATCATTTTCTGATCTATCGTTACGTGTTAATAAAACTTAAAAGGATGACTCATTTTGCACACCAGTCACTCCGCTACACTACAAAACTACTTCCCCCTGGGATTTTCACAATAGAAGCATGCTAGAGTCTCCATGCAATAACGTCTCCATTATAACGTAGCGCGTTAATCTAACCGTGCACATCCCTGAAGAGTTGTTCACTATTCAGCGAAGGTGAAAACTGTATTTTTTTGTACGTCAGACCACTTAAGCGGCTGAAACACACCACCCGCCGCCGGTTGTTCCAACAATAACATTAGCATGCTAATGCGCTTAGCGGTCCTGCGAGGAAATGTGTCCCCAGGGAAACAGTTCACTGGCAGCCGCGATCAAAACGTTCCGCACGTGTTCAGGCTATTTACACCGGTATTCAGAAAAGTCATAACAAAAATAAAAACCGGTTTTCGGTACAAAACGGTATACCGCCCAGCACTAGAGCCAAGTGCTCTGTTAGGAAAGTATGGAACAATAAGATGTTTAATATATGATGGAGCTTGGTTGTTGAGAGCTTTGTATGTTAGGAGTAATATTTTAAATTCAGTCCTGATGTATTGGGGGTGCTCCTATTGTGTGATTTGTGTAGATGAGGAGTTAGTCACAGTGTTTGGTCTCATGTTAAATTAGTTTGTACGAAGTTGTCTGATCGCTCCTGCCTTCTCTCAGAGCCATCGACATGAGATTCACAAGTCTCACAACAAAGCTGCAGCTCAGTGGGAGCTGAAGGAGCGATCCCTGAAACGCCGTCTCAGACACGCTGGGAGTCCTGCGCCTCTGGACCGGGTCAGCCTGAGCATCATCAGGGAGGTGTGTGTGTGTGTGTGTGTGTGTGTGTGTGTGTGTGTGTGTGTGTGTGTGTGTGTGTGTGTGTGTGTGTGTGT